TCAGCTCCTTCCGTGCACATGTCTCCCGAGACCCTGCTTTGCTGGCCTGGCTCGGTCCTGGGCGTGAACGTGACCCTCCGAGTCTTGGGGTCCTCCTCTTACACCTGCTGCGGTGACAGCTCTGAAGCCCTGGCCCCAAGTGAGCTCCCTTGGGTGTTGGTTCCAAACTTATAAGATGAGGCGGCTGGGGCTCCTGGGGTCGACTCCCGACCAGCTCGCGTCACCTGCCGTCTGCGTCTGTCCCCTGCCGTGTCTGAGGGCGGCCTCCGGCCTGACCGGGCAGCTCTGGAAGGGAGAGTGTGGCCTGGGATGCGCTTTCCTCCTCCTCCAGCCACTGTTCCCGGCTGTGCTGGCCCCGGGGACCCCGCTGAGAGCCCAGCCTGGACTTCTCTGTCCTCAGAAGACCTGGTCAAGCACAGTGAGCAGGCTCCCGGCAGCCCACGGGCCACCCAGGCCAGGGCCCGCGGGGGAGTGAGCACCCAGGGAGGCATCCGACCGAACTGGGCTTGAGGGGACGTGGTCAGGGAAGGCTTCCTGGCGAAGGCAGCCTTTGAGCTGGGTGATGAAGGATGTGTAGGAGTTTGCAGGTGAAGGAGGGGGAGCGGGGCGGTACCCCAGCCAAGGGCCAGCCTGAGCAGAGACACCAATTGGTAACTGATGGAATTACACATCTCGGTTGTCTCTGAAACCCCAGGGACAGAGAGGGGGCGGCAGCTTGCGTCCTCAGCACAGGTGCAGAGAGGCCAGGGGCCATGGAGGGGCTGCCAGGCCCTTTCCAGGGGATGGAGGTGGTGCCCGCGAGGAGGAGGCAGCTGCAGGGCAGGCGGTAGAAGGAAGGGCTGGCGTCCAGGCGTCTGCCTGCGCCCCCTGCTGGGGGCTCACCAATCCCTGCAGGAGTCCCCGGCTCCCTGGCCCTGGCGGCTTAGTCAGGTGCCCTGCGCAGGTGGACTGGGTGGGCCCTGCAGCTGGGTGGACAGAGTGGGCCCTGTGCTGGGTGGACACGGTGGGCCCTGCAGCTGGGTGGACAGAGTGGGCCCTGTGCTGGGTGGACACGGTGGGCCCTGTCTGGGTGGACACGGTGGGCCCTGTGCTGGGTGGACACAGTGGGCCCTGTGCAGGTGGACATGGTGGGCCCTGCAGTTGGGTGATTTCCTGTTCACTTCACCCCACACACAAGGTAGGTGGGTGAGGAGCTGAGTGACCCCTGGTTCTCTGCTTCCTCGCTCGGGCTGACACGTGTGCTGGGTGGACACGGTGGGCCCTGTGCAGGTGGACACGGTGGGCCCTGTGCTGGGTGGACACGGTGGGCCCTGTGCGGGTGGACACGATGGGCCCTGTGCTGGGTGGACACAGTGGGCCCTGTGCTGGGTGGACACGGTGGGCCCTGTGCAGGTGGACATGGTGGGCCCTGCAGCTGGGTGGACACGGTGGGCCCTGTGCAGGTGGACACGGTGGGCCCTGTGCTGGGTGATTTCCTGTTCACTTCACCCCACACACAAGGCAGGTGGGTGAGGAGCTGAGTGACCCCTGGTTCTCTGCCTCCTCGCTCAGGCTGACACCTGGCTGGCTCCCCAGCCTCAGGCTCCTCAGCAAGCGCAGGCATCGACCCGCCGTCCCTCTCGCTGAAGGAGGCGGCGTGGGAACGCCGGCTCAGACCGGCCTCAGCGGGGCGCCCGGGAAGTGTTCCCACACTCCAGGGTGTGGGGTCTACAGAAGCCAACATCCGGGCCTTTCTCCCAGGGGCTGTGGGACGTTTCCGATTCTCTCCTCTCTCCCCAGGGCTCGGACATGCTTGCTTGTCACAATTACTGGCACTGGGCTTTGTATCTGATTGAAAAGGTAAGACGCCTGGCGTGTTTCCCGTGAAAATGTCCGGAGAGAGACACGCTTTTCCGCCCTTTCCTGCCCTCACGTCCTGCAGAGCCCTACTGTGTGTTTGCACATTTATTTATTTACTTATCCTCACCCGAGGATATTTTTCCCATTGATTTTTTTTTTTTTTTGAGAGTGGAAGGGAGGAAGGAGGAGGGAGAGAGAGACACATCGATGTGAGAGAGACACCTCGATCGACTGCCTTCCATTTGCACCCTGACCGGGGCCGGGGATTGAGCCTGCAACCGAGGTACACGCTCTGGACGGGAATTGAACCTGAGACCCTTCGGTCCACGGGCCGATCCCTCCCCACTGAGCCAGGCCGGCCGGGCTGTCCCGATGTGTGAGGGGCTGCGTGGTTTTGATAGCTTTTCAGGCCTGAACCTCCTCCGGCTCCGGCACCGCCTGCACTTGGAGACCAGCCGTGTCATGTGCAGCCTGCGGCCACACCTCAGACCAAGTGTCCCTGTTGCTGGGTGACCTGCTGAGCCCAGGACGCTCCCGATGCGTTGCCCCAGGGGAGCCAGATGGGGGGACGCCTGGTCCCCACTGGGTCTGCCACTGGCTCCACTATAAGCTGCTTCTCAGAGAGACTGTGGACGCCCCCTAAGTGCCCGAAGAGGAGTGCTGGGGAGACGGACCGTGCAGGGACACGGAGACCTCGGTGACACGCTGCCCAGCGGGAGCGGTGACCGCAGCCGCGTGTGCAGGGAGGAGCGGAGAGAGGAGGCGAGGGGGTACAGGAGGGAGCTGGCCGCAGCTGGACAAGCGCTTGTAGGAAGAATGTGCTGTGACAAGCGTCCCCTTAGCAGCGAGGCCGCGTCCGTCTCCCGTGACCGGACGCGCAGGCCAGGGCAGAGGCGGCCGAGCTCCCATCCCCAGATCCGCACCAG